GGGGAAGGGAGGGAGAGAAGATATGAACTATGTTCTTCCCTGGCTCTCACCAGTACAGGTGGCTGATGAGGGCTTTCGCTGTGGCCCGGTTGACAGGGGGCAGGAGCCCCAAGAGTTCCTGGTACCTATAAATCTTCTCTTCCTCATTCTCAATTGCTGGGGACAGGAGACAGGAAGGTATGAGGTCTGGGCCCTCTGGGACCTATGACCCCTCTGGTTTCCTTCCCAGCCCCAGCCAGCTTTCCCCAAGCCAGATTCCCCCACCCACCCCAGGCCTTCACACACAACAAACCCCAGAGACTGGTGGGTGGCAAGGACAGGAGTCATTCTGTCCAGTGCTACACAGGGCTGGGAGGCAAGGGAAAGGGCTGGAGAATGGGGGGAAGGGGCAATTGGGGAAGTTGGTAAGTTGGTTATTCAGTCATTCAGTCAATCAGTCTCTCAGGTGGTCTTGTCAGTCAGGCAGTCAGGCACCTGGCCAATCATTTGATCAGTCCTTCTATCAGTCAATTAATTTATTGGTTAGTAGATCCATCTGTCCATCCATCAGTCACAAAATCAGAATGAGAGGGATTCATGGCAGCTGCCGCATCCAACCTACAGCTGAAAAAGAATCCCGTTCGCCACAAACCAGAAGTGGTCATTCAGCCTTTGTTTGAAGATCTCCAGTTAGGGGGCTGCCACTGCCTCTGGAGGCAGCCCCTTCCATGCTGGAACAGCTCTAATCATTAACAAGTTTTTCTTTACCTCAAGCCTCAGTTTACCATTTTGAGACTCCATCCTACCCGCCCCACATTGTTCTTGGTTCCGCCTTTTGGGGCCCAGCAGTACAAGTCTTCCCCAGGATGGCCTTTCTGTATGGGGTAAAAGTTCTCAGGTCACCCCTAAGTCTTCTCTCTCCCAGGCCAAGCATCCAATCCCTTCAGCATGATACCTCAGGGTTCTTCACCATCCTGGCTTGCCTGCAGGCCCATCTGTCCAACATAGTCAGTCTGTCCATCAATCTGCTGTTGGCTTGCTCTTTCTGTTGGTTACTGTCAGTCCGTCCACCCGTCCGTCAACCGGTCAGCCCACAGGTCCACTTGGAAGCAGCACCTGCCGTATCGAGCCAAGCACAGCGCTGGGTCCGGGTGAAGAGCCCATCGGGTAGGTCCCGCAGGAAGCGCTTGAGGGCAGAGGAAACATCATCCACGTGCTGCTCCCCCTCCTTGAGACGCACAGAGCGGGCATCCCGACGCAGGTTGTCCAGCACCCGCTGTGTCTTTGACGTCTGCCCACACTTACGGTAGATGCCCTCTGAGGTCAATCCTAGGCAACAAAGAAGGGAAGGAGGGGATGTCGTGGGGGGAATTAAGGGGTCCTTAGAGGAGGGGAGGGATAGCCCACCCACGGCCCTGGCCCCAGACCCTCTACTCACCACACTGTGTGATGTAGTCTATACATCGGTAGACGATGACAGGGATATCAGAGTCCCCCAGTTGCTGCTCGGACAGAGTGTCCCCAGAGCTTGCTGCTGCCTTCTGGATGGCCCCCAGCCATCCGGTGAAGTCCAGCTTCCTTTCCCCCTGGATGTACAGGGTCCTGGGCCCAGTGCCCAGTCAATGTCACCACCAGGAAACCCAATGGGATTCACCCTCCCTACCCCATCCACAGGGCTCCCTTAAGAATTATATTGTCACAGACATATGTTTGTGGGTTTATCTTGTATTATGATATCTTTCTGGAGCTATTTGTTATCTCATTTAAAAAAAATGTAATGGTTGAGTTTTCTATATCTTCCCCAAGTAATATTATATATCAAGCAAAAAAAAAAAGAATTATATTGTCAGAAAGAAGGATCCGTGGGGATCATCCAACCCAACTCCATCCTTTTAGAGACATTAAAACTGGGGCCTAGGGAGGAGAAGGGACTTCCCCAAGGTCACAGGAGTTGATGGCAACATCGGGAATAGAACCCAGTGTTCCCAATTCCAAGCTTAGGGGCCAGAATCACAGGGTCTCAAAGTAGGAAGGAGCCTCAGGGAGCATCCAGTCCACCCTGTATCTGAATAGGGATTGACAAGTGGTTCATCAGCCTCTGCTTTGGCAGCCTGCTCTGCTCTGGAACAGGGGATTTTTCCTGACATCAAAGCCTCTTCTCCCCACCTTTTGTCATCCCCCCATTGCTCCTGATTCTGCCCTCTGTAGCCATGCACAATGCTACGCTCTGCTTTGGGAAATCTTGTAACCCACTTTGTGGATTATCCAGAACGCTACTTCCTCCCCCCGATCCCAGTCCCTCCCCAAGAGTCCTCAAGACTCAAGAAATGTCCCATGCCAGAGTACCCCCTTTGGACCGCACAGGGCCCAATGGAAGCAACCAATGCCTTCCCTCTCCCGCCCCCGGGGCCCCATTCTCACCTCCCCCTCTCCACCAGTACAAGGACTTCCTTATCCCCCTCTATCGCTGGGGAAGGAGAGGATAGGTTCAGATTAACACACATCGGGTGCCCCCTCCCCTCCCCGCTCCTTAGCAGTCAGTCCCTGGTACAGCAGGTGCGGGACGCATGCACAACAGATCCCCCCCACGGGAGGACTCGTGTGTGGTCCTTCAGCCATGCACAGGGAAGGGACATGGAAGGCCCTGGGGAGCCATCAATCTGTCCCACCCAGGACTGGAGAAAAGGGGGGTGGAAGGAGTGGGGCAGTATGCAGATCTGACTTCCAAGGACAGGATCTGATGGGATCCAAGGTCAAAGAAGGTCAGAGCTAGAAGAGACCTTAGAGGTCATCCGGGCAGCATCCCGCACTTTAGAAGAGAGAGGACAGAACACTGAGCAGGGTCACATAGTGAGTTTGTGGGAACGCCGGGATCAGCACCACCGGCCTTTGAGCAGAACCGGGAAGATCAGAGTCCTTGGGGCAACTCAGAGATCATCTAATCTACCCTTCCCTTCCCTTACTTTACCAATGGGCCCAGGGAGGGGAAGTGACTTATCTAAAGTCACACAGTTACTGAGCAACCTTCAGGGGAAGGGTATGAGGAGGACTGAGTCAGGGAGGGTCCTGCCTACATAGCTCTTGCAGCTTTCGGAGCTGTAGGGCCTCCCCGCCGGGGCTGTCCTCAAACACTGCTCGGAGCTCGGAGCCAGCCAACGCAAACCAACCCTCCTGGGTCCGCTGCAGGCTGAGGCCGGCCTTATATGAGAGGCGGCCCAGACGCTCAAAGTCCCTGCACAGCAGCTCTTCCACGTGGTGGGGCACGAAGGCCTGTGGGAAGGAAGGGGTGGGAGGATAGAGGGGTCAGCTCTGGCTGCCAGACCCCGGAAACCTGACTAATTCTAGGCCTTCCTCCAGCATCCCCTCACCAGCTGTAGGCCCAACGCACAGTAGCCTCAGTGTTTGGAAAAGTACTTCCAAGAGTCTGATCTCAACCACCTCCACTGTCATGTTTCCTGTGCCTCAGTCTCTCCACCCACCTCCCCCTCAGGTTTCCTCCTGGACTCTCAGTCCTAGCTCAGTGTCCCGTATTCATAGATGGTTTGGAAAAGCAGAGATGAGAGGAGAGGATTAATGAAACAGAGGCTTAACAAAAGTCAAGACTGTAGGAAGTCTGGAATGAGAATGAAAGCCAGCAGCTGGAGCCTAGCCTTTCTCCCCCCTCCCCCCTCAATCCATACAGGGCCAAGTCCTGCCTTCTCCAGGAAGCCCTCCCTGGCTGCTTCAGCAGGATGTGGCTTCTCTGAGCAGTTCTCTGGTCATCCCTTAGAGTCTGAAGACTTGTGAATGGAAAGATCTAGGAAGGCGCCACCCCTGGCCCTGACACACCTCCCCATACGTACTAAGCACACCCACCTTAGCAATACACTTGACCCATTCTTGAGCCAGTTCTGGGCTTTCTGATCCAAACAGGTACATCCTCTCAGTCTCTGTGTACACTTCGAAGGTACTGTCAAAGCTGGAGAGAGAAAGGGACAAAGGGATGGGAGGGGAGAAAGAAGCTGAGGGCCGGCCCCTTGCCCTCACCCACCTCGTAGCTCACTCCCTCTCATCTCCCATCAACCTCAAGGCCATCTCCTCACCTTCTCTTCTGTCAATCCCTATCACCCCAACCTCTGTCTTTTCTCCAAATCATCTCTCAACTTTTCTTCTTTGGCTCAACCCACCCAGGCTGTCCTCAGCACTGAGGATTCAGTCTGTACACAAGTTCCCTTGTTCTCATGCCTTGGCAAGGAGGGTGGAGCTATGGAAATTTGGGGAAGGGGGGCAGGATTGGGGAATGAGGAACAATGACACCTCAAAGAATGTTCATCAGATCCTAAGGCGGAGTTTCTAGATCACAGAACACGTAATCTTAGAACACAGAATTTTAGAATCCTAGAAATATAAAATGTGGGATTCTAGAATCTTGGAATACAGAAAAACACGGAATTCTAGAATCTCAGAACTGATAATTTTAGATACACAAAACACAGAATCTCAGCTCAGTGAATTTCAGAATCACAGAATTATTGGAGAATAGAATTAAAATGTGGGGAAAATTTGCCCAAGGTCACAAGGAGTTGGGACTAGAACCCAGGACTCCTAACTGCTCTGCCTGGGTTCTTTCCATACACCACACTGGAGAAGAGGAATGGGGAGGGGCCCCAAGATAAAGACGTGGGAGACTGGTAGAAAGATTTCTCAAGGGAAAGGAGAGAGCATGGCAGAAGCCCGGTCAAAGAGGGAATGCAGGGGCTGGGCTGGGAGAGGGACAGAGGGGGGCTCACCCATGGGTGTCAGATGAGGGTACAGCCAGGCACACGATCTCACTGGCTCGGATCTCCCCATTGGGCACAAGAGCCCGCTCATTCTCATAGTAACTCAGGACCCCATCACTGAGAACACACCAGCGTCGGCTGAACTCTGCCCAAGGCAAGGGGGAGGAGGAAGGAGATAGGTTGAGATCCCTTAGGGCCTGTCTCTTCTACATCCAGACCCCATCCTAGATCTACCACCTCCTTTCCCTCCCCACAGCCCACACTGGGGAGGCTCTAGTGCCCCCTGAACCTCCTCTCTCGGGAGAATGTGGGGAGAACTGGTTTCTTCCAAGAAATCTTCCATCACTGACCCTCTCTGATTGTATTTGAAGCTTCCTAAGCTTCACCAGGGTCACAATACTCTACGAGAGTGGTCATAGTCGGCCTCCCTGGCTAAGACTGTGGAGCCCCCTGATCAGTAGGAACAGTTCAGGTTTCCGCCTCCAAAGACTCATGCGGGTTTTATAATGGGGACGAAAGAACAATCCATGATCCTTTTAATGTGCTGTGTCTTATAGTTAGCCCTGGGCAAAGTCCATGATGAGTTGAGTTCAGAATGATCTGGCTAGAATTCAGAGCCCTCCACTAACTGATGCCCCCTACCTTTCCAGCTGCACCACCTACCACGTCCCTTCCCAAACCGTCCATTTGGCATTTTAATTAAAATGGAAGACCCTGCCCCCAAGCAGTCATTCATTCGCTAAAGAAACATTTATTAAGCATCTGCTATGTGCCAGGCATTGAAGATGCAAAGACAAATAATAAAACAGTCTCAGCCCGCAAAGACCTCACAATTCTCTTGAGGGAACAACCCGAGGGAACAACCTGTACATAATTACATAGACATAGAACAGAGTCAGTCCAAGGTAAGTTTTATGTTTGTTTGGTGGAGGGGGGACAGAACTTACAGCCAAGAGAACAATAACCAAGAGAATCAGGTCTTATGTAGGAGCTAGTATTTCAGCTTAGCTCTCCCACCCCCATGCCTTTGCCCAGGACATCTCCTATGCCTGGAATGCCCTCCTTCTTTCTCGTCACTGACCGAATGCCTACCTCTCCTTCAACACTCAACTCAAACTTCTCCTCCAAAAGCCCCTCTGATTTCTCCTGCCCACAACATCGTGCCCTTTCAGGCCTCAGCCAGCCCTTTCTGTGCCCCTCTCAATGGCCCTTCTCACGTCACACTGTGTACGTGGTCCTCATCTCTCTGTCTTTGCAAGGGCAGGAGCTTTGCAAGGGCAGGAGCCATGTTTTATCTCCTCTCGTTCCCAAGGCCCACCATTCAGGGAATGAATTGTGAGAAACATAAGCTAGGGCAAAAAGGCAGATGGCTGGGATGAGGGAGGTGAGGCACCCACCTTCTCGGGCACGGCGCTCCTGCAGGGGCTTGGCCACAGAGGCCGTCTTGAAGAGGAAGCCACTGTGGCTCACGGTGGGCTGAATGACAGAGTAATGCTTCTCCACAATGCTGACTGGGTCCAGCCGGGGCATCTCTAGGGAAAGGCAAGGAAGGGGACAAAGGGGTCCTTGGTCAAGGATGGAATTCTGCAAGGAAGGACAGGGTCTCCTCAACTCCCCACCCATCCACCTACCCCAAATACTAGAAAAGCAACCATTCAGTCCCAACCCCTCAAATATCAAGCACAATGACACTGCAGTCAGAGAAGTGAGTTAAAATCTGGGCTCTGCTGCTCATGAGTCTATGAGACCTTGGTCCCAGAGAAATCTGGGCCTCACTTTCCTCTTACACTTACATGAGGAGGGTTGGACAAGATGATCACCAAAAGGCCTTAGAGCTCTGATGTTCCGAGTCTGTGAGTCTAAGGAAGGGCTCAGAGCTGGCAAACTGAGTCCCTCAGAAGCTCCCCCCACAGCCTCCATGCCCTGGGGAGGTCAAGACACTCCCCTTTGGACCTTACACAGCACCCCTCTGATGCACCAAACATGTAATATGTGTGTGTACATATGGAGAGAGGTGTATATACGTGTGCATGTGTTTTGTGTATGTATGTATTATGTATGATGTACATGTGCATTGTGTAGTTGTATATATGATGTGAATATGTGTTTGTGGTACATGCATGTGTGTATACGTACTATGTGGATATACGTGTGTGTGTGTGTGTGTGTGTGTGTGTGTGTGTGTGTGTGTGTGTCTGGGGCAGGGCAGTGAGGAGGGGGAGGAGGAGGGGTCTCCTCCTTCACCCAGAATGCACGCTCCACAAAGCTAGGAACTACATCTGAGCCAAATAGTTCATCTCCTCTCGTGCCAAGTGCAGTGTGCAGCCTCAGCAGACACTTCATCAGTTTTGACTGAGTGACTGAAGCTCCCTGGCCCCGAGAGACCCCAGGCTGAGGCCCGGGTGAGCCAATCAGTCTCTGGGCTGGCCAAACCCAACCCCCTCTGTGGTCCCACCAGGCGGCGGTGCTCCGAGCCTCCCCAGGGGGAGGCACACACAATCGAGGCTGTGCCTGCCACGGCCCCTGGTTGGGGGGCGGCCGCCTATGGCTCCTGGGTGGGTGGTCTTTCCCCTGCCCTAGACAAAGGTTCCAGGAAGTCACTAGTCCAGACACCTCTGACCAAGGTCAGAAAAGGAGCCAAGGCCCCCAACCCTGATGGCCTCACAGTCCTTAATCCCCTTTCTGATGGTCTTGTCAATCCAAGCCTGGAGAGCCCTGCCCCCAAACTGTAGTCCAGGTATAATCTGCTAGGTGACACAGTGGATAGCACACTAAACCTTGAGTCAGAAAAACCTGAGTTCAGATGCAGCCTCAGACACTCACTAGCTGTGTGACCCTGGGTGAGTCACTTTAACTTCTGTTTGCCTCAGTTTCCTCAACTGTAAAATGGAGATAATAATAGCACCTACCTTACAGGGCTGTTGTGAGAATCAAATGAGATAATATTTGTAAAGTGCGTAGCATAGTGCCTGGCAGATAGTAGGTACTTAATAAACACTTATTCCATCCTCCTAAGTAGATGGTTTCCCTGAGGGCAGGGGTTATATCTCCCCTCTCAGACTTGGAACTCCCTGAGGCCCCAGAAAGTTATGACTCCCTCCACTCCTGGGGTCCCTGAGCTTGGGACATGACCAGGACTCAAACTCTTAAGTTCCCCCAACCCCCAAAGGATGGGTGGGGGGAGGCCAGCACTGTCACTGGAGTAAAATTGATGACTTTGCTACTCTTGACCAAGGACCCCAGACACTCTGTGACCCACCCTGTGTGGGCCAGCTCATATTTACAAGGGTATTCTAGCTTCTCTGTTTCTGACTCTCTGTCTCTATCTCCGTATCTCACTCTCACACACACATAACAATACACAAATACAACCATTCACAAACACACCCAGAACAAGAGACACACAAATGCTGACACAGAGGCAGACAGGCTGGCACGTGTACACATACCACCCCCAACACATACACATGGACGTGTGTGGCCAGTCCCTCCCCCCTTACCAGAGGTCTGGTTGTTCCTGAGAAACTCCATCTGCAGCCTCTGGCCAGCCTGCCTGGCCACAGCCAAGGGCGTGGGGGCTGCAGGGTCCCCTGAGTAGCAGTTGATGGCCGCCCCACAGCCCAGCAGGGCCTGTGTCTCTTCGAGGTCAGTAGTGGTGACAGCCACACAAAGGGCCTGGGGGTGAGATTGAGCTGGCTCAGGCCCTGGAGAGAGGGGAGAGGATGCTCCCCTGCTCCTCCTCAAACCTCCCCCCTCCCATAGCAATGGTAGCCAGTCCCAGGCATAGGGAGTACCTGAGAGCAAAGAGATAGGGGGAGGTGGGAAGGGGGTTGGGGTGGGGTGGGGGGAACAGGAGAGGAGAAATAAAGAAAAAGAGAGAAGGGAAAGAGACAGGAGGAGGGAGAGATGCAGGGACAGACAAAAAAAGGGAGCAATCGGTCAACAAGCATTTGTTAAGAGCTGTGCCAGGCACTGTGCTAAGTGCTGGGGGTACAAAAAGTGACAAAAACAGGGAAAACAGGAGGACGGGGAAAGTAGGGGAGAAAGAGAAAGCTTGAGGTGGGGGAGGGACAGAAAAAGAGAGCACTCGGAGTGAGGAGAGGGACTCAGGGGGAAACGGAGGGCAAAGAAGGAGAGAGAGACAGAGCAGGAGACACAACGGGACAGTACTGGAGATGGAGGGAGGTGGAAGAGGTAGAGGGAGAAAAAGAAAAGGGGAAAAAGAAAAAGACAGAGAAGCGGAGGCAAGCAGACAGAGATCGGGGGGGAGACTGAGGAAGAGAGAAGATCAGGGAACTGGAGAGGAAGGGAGAGTGGAAAGAGACAGTGGTCTGAAAGGAGAGATGGACAAGCCAGGAGACCAGGGTGAGGGGAAGGGGAGAGAGACAGGCCCATGGATTGAGGGAGAAGGGAAGTCCCGGAGAAGTAGAAGAGGGGATAAGACAGAAAGGAAGGAAGGCAGAGGGAGAAAGAGAAGGAAGGAAAGAAAGAGAGTGGTCAGAGAAGGAGGGGAAAGAGAGAGAGGAGACAAGAGTAGGGGGAGAAGTGGAGGGGGCCAGGTCAGGGTCACAGGTCAGATCCTGGCTTCACCCTGAGGCTGAGAACCCCCCAGGGCAGCTGTTTCCTGGGTCTGGGTCTCTGTCTGTGGCCGAATCCAGTTTTAGCTCTCTCAGTCTCTCCGAGCCTTGGGGAGGGGAGGGAAGGACAGGGCTGAAGAAGGCGGGATGATTGTACAGTAAAGTCCTCCCACATGTGAATTCCTCACCGCCTGCCTGCTGGGCCCTCCAATGAAAGCCTCTTGGCCCCGCCCAGGCGGCCTGAACCCAGCCAATTCCTTCACCCTGAGCAGGCCTGGCTGGGGAGCCAGACTCTTGGGTCCCACCAGCTCAGAGGTGGCTCAACTTTGCTTTAGGAACGGTCTGGGGTGGGGCTGCTCAGGATGCTGGGAGGGATGTCTCACCAGAGCTCGTCCACAACCCCTGCCTCAGGACACAAGTACACACACACACACACACACACACACACACACACACACACACAGAACACGGAGCACAGCCAAGGAAGTAAGCATGTGTACTGAGGGAGGGAGAGAAATTAGAACACAGGTGTCCAGCCTCCCATTCTGTGGCAGAGACTACAATATAATGGAGAGTTCATCCTGGGTCTCAAGTGGCCCAAAGAAGTCTCCAAAACCATGCGTGCCCTGAACTTATCATGCTGTGGGGCTAGAGCCCCTGAGGCCTCCATGGAACCTCTCTACACCTCAGAGGGGAGAGGGGTATGGGGCCTAAGGGAGCTGGTTCGGAGCAGCCCAGCTGGTTTCCATGAGCCCAGCAGGAAATAGCACCGGGCGTCAGGCCTGCTCCCTTTGGCAAGACATAGCAGCAAGAAGGGAGGGTGCAAGACAGAGGAGGGAAGGGAGGGGAGCAGCTGGTAGAGTGGAGTAGGGGACAGGAGACTTGGGTTAAAACAGAATCATCAGCTCAGAAAACATAAATCACAAAACATCAGAGCTGGGAGGACCCTTAGAACACAGAATGTCAGAGCTGGGAGGGCCCTTAGAACACAGAATGTCACAGTTG